CATCAGAGCAGAAAACATAGATGGAATAACCATTGTCGTCATGTTGTGCAGGACACTATCAATCAATGAGTGTGTGAGTGAGTTAAAAGTTAACATCACCATGGCAATATTTCTGCCATATAGTGACGAGAAACGTTCATAAAAGAATGCATGATAAATACAAGTTGTTACAAATCCAGTCATCAAGCCACTGTAAAATAACTACAGTGTCACAAATGGTGTTTAAAACTAGCATGTAAATATGAAAGACAATATAATATAAAAACGACCTGTTGGTCGCCAGCAACTGAAGGTAGATCACCATACTAGTGACTTCCAGTCCGTTGAATACCTGCAAGGACCCTAGCTGGATTTACATCGTCCCTTCAGATGTTAGCGAGTATTACACATTTAGCGAACACATATTCTAAAACTATCAATCCCTAGGCATGTTAAAAGAAATCCAATTCACGCTTAACAAAAAATGCATAAACTATTGCATTCATTTGGCGAATCGAACGCTGACATTCAGAGCCACCTTTGTTTGTTTGACAGAGCAATATTCCAGACGAAATGACAACATATTAGTGTTTGATAATGGGCAATCAGGACGACGTCGAGATGAAATGCACTACCCACAATCTTGCCTCATCTCCTCAGTCTCTAAAATGCATTATCAGCAAAGCACTATCGTTTTGATTTTCTGGTATTTTCTGATTTTAAGCAAATCTATGACTAAGTAAACAGTATCCAGCCTGTGCCTCGTTGGAGGTATGGTCTCTTTCATCAATAAATACACATTCCATCATCCAGTGTTAAACATGCTATTCTGATATTGAATACCTTAGAATCATTGTACAGGAATATCTTTGTTTCAAGCTGGATTCAAATAAAATGACACTTAATATATCTGACTAATAAAATTGCAGTAAATTCTGTGCAACGTGTAAGTACGTAATAGAGAGACTGAATATTTCTTGAAGTAGATCGAAGCCTCAACAGTTGGCGATGGAATATAGGATGGTTTTCTTGATGTCATTGTGACATCCCGTCTCATCTCACATAGTAACTAAATTATTACCGTTGGTACAAAATCGATGACTGTCATGATATGTCTGTCTGGTGCTTCGAAATCGAACTCTCGTATTGTTATTTGATCTGGAGATGCCCCATGTTTGACCAGGGGGGCTCGCAGTAGGATTAAGTAATGTATCGATCTATCTCACGCTGCTATTATACTTAGTTTACAGAAGGATCTGTATAGATGACAGGCGTTTAAACAAATGTAGGAGATGGCAGCACGTTTAAATACATCGACGTTAACTAGAAACGTCTCGCGCAGTGGAGCTGTAAAATTTTGGGATAAGTTCAGGCGTCATATGATCAAGCCAGATCGAAGTAAAGTTTTCATCAGAAGCCAAAGACGCTCTAAGCCTGCGTCATAAAGAAAGTATTTTCGAAACAGTGTTTATCGAACGAAGGCAATATGCTACATCTGGTGTATGTTTCTCATTTATTGAAAAGCAGTAAAACTGCTCATTAGTTCCAGCGGAATTATGGCGCCAAATGTCAGATGTTATAATTGAGTGTGATCAAGAAAAGTTATTTCATTACTCTTTTCCTAGAGCCATGCGCCGTGATAAATATTCATTAAATTCATCGGAAAAGAAAACTTTCAACATTTCATGAAAGTTCTTTTCGATTTTGCTGAAAACAGACGAACAGATTACTAATCTGGCTAGAAATAAACTGATCGACACTCTTTCTTAAACAATGAAATACCTGATCCCTAAAGGAAGAAACGCTCACTCTATCATTTACGGAAGTTTAAAAATATTTTGAGGGCTGCTTCGGTACTTAACCTCTTTTCTAAACGATGGGATATTAAACATCAAACCTTGGCTGAGAAGTTTGTTTGATTCTTTTTGTTGGGTTGCTGTTTAACGCCGTATGATGGCAGTCTGCAAATAATTACATCTAAGTGACCAAACTGTCAAGTGATTCATTAATGCGGATCCAGGCAACTGGGATACAATTACCTGCGTCAACCAGTTCAGCGGGCCCGACCACCCGATACCGTCTGTCGTCTACAACATGCATGGGTCCCTGAAGACCAATTCTAACCCAGATCCTCACAGGTTTAGCTTAAACGGATTTCGTCGGCAAAGTACATCAATATTTGCACCTAAACCTGTGGGGTGTTGAGATAGGTACTTGGATAATGCGTTTACTTGTCACACTAGTCCTTTAACTCTACTCTTGGGTACACTGTGTGAAGCCCATTTCTGATTTCCCCCTGCTATGATATTCCTGGAATATTGCTAAAAGCGACATAAAATCATAATAAATCACTGAGGGGTTATAATGAGAGAGGGCGTTCGGATCTCTGCTTCAATATGTACAATACAAATGCAGATTCTCGTGTTCTTCTAAAATGTCTAACGCCATTTTGAGCTATGGGCAAACATCTTCCTTTAATATGAAGAATTGAGAAATAGCTTTTAACGCCATGTACAAGCATCCTTTGTTGTATTCCGAGGACCAGGAGGGTACAGCAACGACCACCTTATATTATACTTCTAGGGTGTAGAACCCTCGACCATCGACTGTACCATGATATCAAGAATCGTTTTACGCCGCTAGTAATAGGCGTGGTTTTCACTAAACTACCATCGCCCAGTGACAGCTGAGTTAAGCTAAGAAGCATGTAGGAACATGATGTTGAATCAACCTTTGTTGGACTTGCGTTGTGTACTTTTATTTTATAGGTGTTTTAAACACTTGTTCTCTACTCAAAACTCAGTGACCAGTTCGTGAATCGGGCATAAAGCCTATTGGGAAATAACAGAGACAAAATGAACAATAACAATAGTTTATTACAAAAATACAAACAAAAACGTAACAGCTTATAAATGGCACATTTCTCTCACTCACATAGCTGATCAACAATCCATCTACATGAAAACCAGTACATTTCTTCTGAAAAAAACCCACCCAAACCAACCCTGTTTTAACTGAACATTATCCAAAGTCTATAGCCTAATTCCTATTCCGTTTCCTACTGCTACTTCTCCCCCAACCCGGCCTAACACTGTAAACAGGGAGGGAATGATCCTGAAACATCCTGTCATAAAACTTTTGTTACAGTAGCATTTTTTCAACAGAATCAATAATGACATCTTTGACAATCTAACGATTTAAATGTAACTTTGTTACCACAACATAATATTATCTGTAATACAGACAGACAGACAGTATTTATTCAGTAAAGAGGCCCTCGCCCATAATACAATCAGACTGACATTGTGTTTAGTGGGTGCGCAATACAACTTTGCAGCTCTATGTCCTGGAGTTCAGTTTCTGTACATGGTATAAGTATAGGCCAACACTGTATATGACAGCATCATTTTTGCTTTGCAAAAGATTTACGACAGAGTAATGAGTAAGTGGTTCTTTAGTGAACTTTGTTATATATTTCTTTCTAGGTATATCATAGGTATTACAAATATATAGTACATGATATTCATTTTCTATATAATGCTGACCTCTGGTTTTACAAAAAGGACATAGCCCTTCGTTATATTCAATTCCATTATACCTGCCACATTCAACAGCCGTATTAAATTACTGCATCTAAACCTTGATATAGCAATTCTTATATGCACAGGGATATCACAACATAAATATTTTATAATATTTAACAAAGTTTTGAACTCCTTGTAAAATATACATTTAGGAGATTCACTAATTGATGAGAACCAAGACTGTTTTAAGTTATCACCTAGCCTTAGCTTGAATAGATACACAGAATATTCCACATTTCCAATCTCTTGGCTTAGCCAAGCATAACCAAATCCATATTGAAACAGGATGTGTCTAACTTTGGTTACCCAGGTATTATAGCCTAAGCTATCTGGTGATCTGAACATGTAATACAAATTTGTATTTTGAAGTTTTCAGAAATTTATTTCATTTGAGTTTTTACTATGATCATAGTTTCATAATAGGTCCTGAATCTATTATAAACTCTGATGAAAACTAACAAACACTGTAAATAAATACTGTGTTATACCATTAGTGTCAATATGATGTATATATTATGTTCTCATAAAAATGCAATACAAATTTCATGCTAATCAACATTAAACCTCAATCAGTTTTCTTTCATTTCTTTTTTATCAAAGGCCCTTGAAAACTTGATGTAATGCATGCTACAGTCCACAACTGATTAATGCTGCCCAGTTCAGCAAGAGAGACTGTAGAATCAAACAGGTGATTCTCTTTAACCCTTCTGATCAGTCTTTCTACATGAATCCTAAGGGATGCAATGGACTGTGTCTCCCATACTTCAATAGGCGTGAACTGTCCAGAGGAATACAGAAATGGAGGAATGTTCAGACCAACACCTTTCTCACTCAGTATACTGGCAATAGTAAAACCCTTATCAGTCATAACACTGTCCCCAGGTTCCAGCAAATCTAGAATGCCAGACAGTTCAGTTATTTCAACATCTGACATGACACCTGTGTACAGATTGGATACAAAGGTAATAGCATCATTTGGGTCAATGCCAATCAGACCTTTCAGAGTGCAAGAGCTCTTGTAATGGGAGTAAAACATGGAATTTAACACCAAAGCTGAGGGAATTTGGATCCTGAGCTCACTACAATCTAAAATGACTCTTGTAGATGGGTTAGTTATCTGAAATTCAGGAGACATGTGTCTGTCTACTGTCACTCTGGAGGCCAGATAGGAACTGATCCAAGAACAAAATAGAGAAAATTTGCCCAGGTGATAATTTTTCGACTAACAGTCGAAATATGGCAGTTAAAACGAACAGCAAGATCCTGTTCTGGTAAACCAAGCCTAAGGCGTACAAAAACATGAACATTTCATCAATAAGGGCCATATTTCTTGGTCTACCTGCAAGAGAAATGGCATTTGAGCATGTATAATACATACTGCCCATATTGGAGGCACTTGGTTTTACAAAGTCAAAAAACTGTTTGAACAATTTATAGCTACGAAAACGTGTAGTACTGGATCATATCATCATTTCCAGCAAATCTTTCCAGTCCAAATCTCTCAAGGCTGAGCTGTTCTTTCAACAAATCTTTCTCCTCCTCAAGCTCTTGAATTCTTTTTAGAAGCTCCTGTGAATCAAACAGACTGATATCTGTCTGAGTCTGAGCTGACAACTGGTGCTCACCTTCTGCATGAGGGTCACAATCTGACATGGAGTTTGCATTTTCAGGACTGCAAAAATAAAGAATTTACTTTCAGTGGAAATCAAATGTTTGTATACTTCAACATTTATTCATTTCTAAATATTGTGATGAGGTATGAGGGTCATCAGTGAATATGAATCCTTCATCTGAAATTTATTTAGATGGAAATACTTTAAATTAATTGATACCACAAAAAAGAAAGACATATTTAGTTAAAGAGCATTTGAACTGAAGTAGTGCTTACACATCTACCAATTTGTTTCTAACTCTTCAACTGACCTTTCCCATGAAATTACTTGTTTTGGCATCAGTGGATGACGGATGGCTGGTGCTTTTCTGGACTTCATATTTTCCAAGTTCCAAGGAAATATGGATGGCACAGATCCTTGCTTGAGGTTCTTCCCTACCGGTGTGTACTTGTAGTCCTCAGGCCGGAAATGCTTCGAGCAAACAACACTCTTCCTGGTGATCTAAATACAAGTGAAATTAAAATAAGTCTACTGTCATCTACTGTCATTATAGATTTTGAGCACCAAGATTTAAAAAATATCTCTTTTTTTCGAATTGTTACAATAAATAGTGTATATAAGTGATTCTATAATAATTCTTCCTGGGTCCATCTGCCATTGTTTCAAATAGGACCACGAAAGGCTAATGTATGCAATTGTCCTGGTAATTTAGTAACACGAAAGTATAGTTGAAAACAAATTTGACATGCAAAATGCTATCATGTAGTTGTTTGAGACAAAATATCTTTTTGTCTTATAATCTGTTTGACAACTGCAGCTCCGATAATATATTCGTTGCTGTTTGGACGACTCAAATTCTCGAGATTTAATTTCGAAAATCCTGAATGAAAATTTTAACCTACCGTAAAGAAGGGTCCTTCGTCCCGACGAATGGCAATTATCCATCTCCTTCGCACATCTTCAGCCTTCGGAAATGTGTGAAACGAAAGTGAATTGTTGTATCTCGCATCAGATGTACAATGAGGTACAGAGCAGTGATCAGCTGCCATATTTGCGGGTATAACCTCGTTTTGGAATCGGTCAAAGGTCACATGCATAAATATTAAGAATCCGCTATAAACCTAAATACCTAAATGTCGATACCTTTCCAGAAATATTTGAAATGTTGTACAGGGATTCGTTCTAAGCGAGATTATTGTTGTGCTTTTCCATAAATACAGCAGTCTTTATTTCACCCATCTAAATTAGTCTATTCTATGTGCATTCCGTATTCTACGTGTGCTTGCCACATCTGAAATAGGAGTTCCTGTGTTACCGAGTGCATTACGTTCCATTTCAATTTTGTCTTTTTTGACGATTAATTCAGTTCTTTTTATCCGTTTCAATATTCTGTAGATTAACTTCTCCATCACTTCCATTATTAATTAATCCCCCCCCCCCTCCACTGCTAGTTTCGAAAGTTGAGTTTACAATGTTTTCTTTTTTCAAAACTGTCACTGATTGTATCCTCCAGGTCATTAACGATTAATTCCCCAAACTTGAAACTTTCTACATCACCATTTTTTTAAACTAAGCTGGATAAAATATTGTTTTTTCCAAACTGCTGATATAGAAACTTTCGTGAAATAGTGAATGACGCACGGAGACTTCAATATTTAACTTCTCTGCCTTGTTAATGGCGTTTTAGAAACTCTCAAAGATATGAAAGGGGAGATGAACAGAAATTTTGAAACACTCTCTTCGAAAATTGACAACATGGCCACCGAGTTGCACGTGCAGCTTGACTCGCTGAAAATAGAGAGTTGAAAGACAGACTCATAGCTCTGGAAGATAAATTCGAGGATTTAGAATCAAGAAATAGACGTAATAATCTAATATTTCATGGCCTGTAGGGGTCACAAGGTGAGACTTGGTCCGAGTCTGAAGATAAAGTCCGTTCATTCATGGTTGAAACTTTAAACATGTGTAATGACGAGGTAAACAGTATAATTATTGAGAGAGCTCATCGTTTGAATCCCGAAACAAGCAGTCTCCAATCATTGTCAAGTTTATGCTTTCAAAGGATAAAAGTAAGGTATTTATGAAATCTCGAAAACATTATCTAAAGCAACTGATCATCGTGTCTCAGAGGATTTCATGCGCAAGGTGCGTGAAGATCGGCGATCCCTTTCTCCTTGGTTCATTCGTGCTCGATGAGACTCGATAAACTTATTGTGGATGGTGCAACGTTTATCTATGATCGCGTAAAACAGGACATTGTTCAAATCGCTGGTAAACCCTCTGATTTTGCTCAAGCAGCAACCCCGCTACAAAGAACCCCAGTGTCAACAAACTCACGTCGATCCTTGTTTACTACTCAAACCGGAAAAACACACCCCTCAAGGGAGACCACTCCAAGCTCTGAAGACTGAAGTGGGGCCAAGGCTCGACTGTGAGTGATGAACATGATACATTTTCTATACTCTCGTGGAATATTGAAGGTTTAAATAAATATTGTGACGGAATCCTACTCTTTAAACGCCTCTGTGGAACATTTGACATTATTGGCTTCCTGGAATCGTTTGCACGTCATGTAGACGATTTCAAAGACCTCCTACCAGATTATCACGTTATAAACAGTGTATGGCAGAAAGTCCATCGCTTTGGACGATATAGTGGTGGAGTTACGGTGTTAATTAAGCAAAATCTGGTGAACTTTGGCTACATTCACAGATTGTATAGCGCTTTTGAGAACTGTGTTGTGTTGTTGTTCCAAACTTCACTTCTTAATTGGGAAAATGACACTGTTATTGTATTTGCTTATCATTTTTCCTGAAAATTCACGGATATACAAACAAACTGACAATGATGATATGTCGATACTTGAGGACTATTTAAATGTCACCTTTACAGAACATCCATGTAAATATATATTGTTATGTGGAGACTTAAATGCTCGTATCAAGGATTTTTTGGACTACATTCCAGATGATACTTTGGATTTTATGTATGATTCCTTCGATTACCCTAGTGACCCGTTTGATATACCTAGGTCATCTAAGGACACACATGCCCACGATAATTATGGTACCAAGTTAGTTGAACTATGCCGGGCACTTGGTATTTATACATTAAATGGTAGACTTTTGAATGACACAGCAGGTGAATTTACTTGCATTACTCACAACGGCTGCAGTGTAGTGGATTATATGATAGCATCATCATCTCTTTTTCCAAATATTACAGATTTTGGAGTGGGCACTCACGACATCTCATGTCACTTTCCAATTAGTTGTTCTTTGGATGTCAGTTATGATAACGTTCTACAAACAAGTCTCACCAACTAACCCACATGGAAGCACTAGGCAAATAAAGAAGTGGGTAAAATACTTGTTAGAAAAAGGATACAAATAACATTTTTCTAACAAGTCTCACAAAAATGTTTGCACAATTCCCATGACACGTTATCTAATTTGATAAATGAAAACATGGAAACCTCACTATCATTTCTCATAGACATGATTCAAAATGCTGCTGATCACACAAAGGCAACATATGGTGGTACACCTGCACTAAAGATGAATACACAACCCCCATGGTGGGACCATGAACTCGAAGTTTCTCAGCTCTTAGAGCCCACAGAGACAAGAACACTGACATCAGTATTTACAAGAAATGCAAAAATTTATTCAAAAGTACTTTTGCTAAGAAGAAAGAACACTATTTGTGTAAGCAAAAAGAAGAATTAGTATCTGCAAGAAATGATCCCAAACTGTTTTGGAAAATAATTAAAGGTCACATGCAACGTAAAACACAACTTTGCAGATTCTGATACCTTTCGGTATGGACTTACCAAAACAAATCATCAAAAATGCAAATTCAACTTATAAAGTTGAAAAATAACGAAATGAAAAAGAACCCGCGCGAAATCGTAGTTCAAACGATTCACTAATTTCCCCCAGCGCTTGGGGGAATTCAAGTGGTTTCAACAGCTGGGCTGCGCTCATAGCACGTGCGCAGTGAAATAGGATCGCGCAGCTTGGAAGCGGGTTGTCTGGTGAATACTCGGTGAAGGTTTTGGTGTGAGCTATTTTTCTAATGTTTTGTTGATATTTCACAGGCGCGAGCTTTTTATATGTTATGACTTTAGATTAACTGTTTATATAATTTCATTTGTCTATTTCACCACACGTTCTTCTTACCGAGTCACTTTCTCAGTTCGATACTTAAAAGCAATATCATTATTTAGCGTTGACAGAATTTCTAACTGTGATATAGATATGTCGTTGTCACAGACAAAACTCAATGTCTGTTTTATTGACACCTATGTGTCTGCCTGCCTGTCTGCTAATGACCATATTCAATACACAACTGCGATCACTGACCACATGCAATTTTAACTTAACACCAATCAGGCTATACACCATAAACAAAATGCATTGATTTATGGCCCGAGTTCGGTCTCTGTCACATTATGTTATTACACAGACAGGCCGATGTGATACTTGTACACACATGACATGTTATGATGTCTGTTGATTGCAAAATGTTATACACAAAAAAATGAGCATGTATTTACAAAACCCAAATGAACCAGCCGTTACACTTGAGTGCACACCCACCCGCTCTGACTGGGTTCGGTATCCCGGCTGCTTCGTTTCTTGGGAAGTAAACGCAAGCACACAATATTGCACTTTTGATTTGCGATTGTACGCTTATAATTTTGTTTATATGTTCTTTCACAACCAGCAATGTATATTATATGTCATGAATAAGTGATACTTGTGTTTTAATTATGTTTGAATTTTTGGCTGCATGTGACCTTTAAGCAAAATAGAAAAGCATTTATCCCTGAAACCATAACATATAGGCAATACTATAGTTTCCCTTGTCTCTCTTTGTGGACCTCCAATTTAGATAAAGAATTGTGTTTGGAAACTGAAGAAAGTGTTCTAATCATCCTACCTAAATTTGTATATCTTGCGGGCATTTTACACACACGCAGGAACACACAGACACACACACAGATACACATACACATGCATCATATAAACATACATAACACACACACACACACACTTGAAAACTGTTTCTATACTGCTAACATAAATTATCAAAGTAAGCAAGGATCGCCATACACCATATAACTGATTTGACACTTTCAGTGATTTGGTCGATTACTTAGATATCCAAGCCAGACGTATAAAAGACGATCGTGAGTGAGCGTCTTCATGTATCGAGTTATTAAATTTTTTATCGGTCATCTCATTCACCCCAATGTGATAATTTTAACACCAGGTGGGCATCATTCAGTGCGAGGTTGGCTCCTTGTAATTTGTACACCAAAGCAATTTGTGGTTTCTGTTGGGTGGCTCAAAGTGCTGTATTCTTTGATGCTAAAGTGTTAAGTAACACGATACTGATTTAACACGGCCTGATGGTAGTGGTTGAGAAGTGTAAGAGCGACGTAGAACAGAAACATGGTCTGTTTGCGCCCACACATTAAATGAGGCTGAACAATAAAATATATACATAGACATACTGCACCAAAGGATTATATAGTTACCATGCATAAAAATGTATTTATCGTATTCAGATATTTTGCTGAGAAAAGGGATCCTCTGCTCAGTGAAATGGATTTCAACATTAAGCAACTAATTATTGTTTTTGGATCTCTAAAACGCACCCTACATGAAATGCACGTGCAGCATGAAATTGTGTATCACGCCAGGCTGAAGCCTATGACTGTAAGCTTTAAAGCCATAACAACGGTTCTCCACATGCATTGCTCTAAGTCACTTTTAGACGACAAAAGAATGCCAAGACTGACAGAAGCTCAAAGGCACAACGCCATCGGCCGTTTACAAGATGGGGCATCGCAGCATGATGTGGCAAGGCACCTCTGCGTGTCCAGACAGACCATCTCAAACCAATGGGCCCGATGCAACAATACTGAGAGTATTAATGACAGACCCAGGTCAGGTCGACCTAGAGTTACAACCGCAGCCAAGAATCGCTACATCCGATTCAGACATCTTCGTTCACGCACCACGACCGCAACATCCACAAC